TGTTAAGGAGCAGCGCTGTACTCGAGATGTGGAGCTATTAGCTTTTAGCATCCGACCGTATTACCTACCTTGCGTTAACCATGTACATCCCGCCAGCGACAGATACGGCAGCAGCATGTGAGACAATTCACACAGTAGTGTCCCAGCTGCAGACATGACACTCCCAAGCCTTCCTTTTCGTCTCTGGAGGTTTCAATCATGTTTCCTTGTCCTTAACTCTCCCTACTTTCACTCAGTATTTCGATTGTTTTACCAGGGAAAACAAAACACTGGACTTACTGTATGCAAATATTAAGTATCCATATACATCATCAACCCACTGGGTCGCTTGGACCATAACCTGTTCCATCTGGTTCCCTCATACATACCTTTTGTGTGTAAACAACCCACCACCACAAGGTATGTGAGAGCATCGTCTGAAGAGGTGAGCATGGCACTGAAAGACTGCTTCCAAACTACAGACTGGGTGGTGCTATGCAGCTCTCATGGGGAGGATATCGACACACTAACCACCTGCATGATAGAATATATCAACTTCTGCGCGGATAACACTTTATCAACCAGGAAAGTACGGTGTTACTCCAACAGCAAGCCGTGGCTGACTCCAGATCCGAGGACCCTGCTGGAGCAGAAAAGGAGGGCTTTCACATCTGGAAACAGAGAGGAAATGAGGAGAGTCCAGAAGGAGCTAAGGAGAGAGATGAGGAGGGGAAAGGACAGCTACATGAGGAAGCTGGAGGAGCAGCTCTAGCAGAGCAACCCCAGAGGTGTGTGAGAGGATTGAACACCATCACTGGATGGAGCAATGTGAGCAGAGGGGGTCCAGGTGTGGGCTAATAGACTGACCCATTTCTAAACCCCCCCCAGAATGGGGAGAGAGTCCCCATTCTGAGGAAGACCTCCTGCGTGGTGCCAGTCCCAAAGACAACGCACCCCAAGGAGCCAAACCACTTCAGACCCGTTGCACTGACTTCACACCTAATGAAGACCATGGAGAGCCTTCAATACAATTCAACCCTCAGTGCTAAGGGAGAAGATGCAGGGAGAGGGAGTGGACCATCAGCTGTCCTCATGCATTATTGACTACCCC